GATTGGGCCCTGCTGGGTTTTCTTGAAACTGAAGGTTTTCACACACACACACACACACACACACACAGGAATACAGTATGCCTGGGAGATTAGAGTACCCACTTCCGTTGTACCTGCTGATGGGAAAAGTGCCAACTCTCGGGCTCCATGATGGGGTGGTGGTGGTGGAGAAGGTATTTTAAAAGCCAAGCTCGGTGGGCAGGTAAAAACGGAAGTATACCTACCCAGAGCGCTGTCTCGTAACTGGTATTTTTGATGCATGGACGGGGCCAGGGCCGAGGGCGGAATTGAGTGCATCTGATGAAGTCCGGGTGGGAGGGTGTGGCCGGGGAGCCCAGGGCCCTGTGCTGCGGGGACCCGGCCTGATGGCGCCTCTCTCTGTTCCTCTCCTCCCGCAGTCGAACAAAGTGCCCGTGGTGCAGCACCCTCACCATGTCCACCCTCTCACGCCTCTTATCACATACAGCAACGAACACTTCACCCCGGGAAACCCGCCTCCACACTTACCAGCTGACGTAGACCCCAAAACAGGTAGGCCGTGTGCTCAAGAGGGCGTGCTGGTCCCGGGGCCCCCACAGGACCTGCTGGGAGGCGTGAAGGGTGGGGACTGGCGGGGGTGTGGGGGGGCTCCTTTCCCTCTCCTGGGTGTTGAAAAGGAAGATGGGGAGCCAGAGCCTGCGGGGGACTGTTCTCTCTTCGGGAAGTCTCTCCAGAGCTCCGGGTACCCGGACAGGGGCCGCCTTGGGAACCTGGCTGCGAGTCACTCGGTGTTTTTCCAGAGGAGCTTACAACTCCTAGAGCCTCAGACAGACTTGGAGGCAGTAATCGTTCTGGAGGCATCTCATGGGCTCCTCCTGAGGTCCTTTGGAGCCCTAGTGCATGGCTCCCCGAAGCCCTGGTCCAATGGTGGCTAAGGGACCCCAGTCACTTGATGATGACTTTGGTGCAGCCTCAAGAAACCACATTGCTGGGCTCCGCATTCTCTGTGCTGGTTGATTTGGCATCTTCCTCCCCTATAACATCCTGGGCATTAACAAGCCCATTTTACAGATGTGAAAACCGAGCCCCCAGGGTTTCTTCATGGCCTCGCACAACAACCAATAGGATCTCAGACAGACGTTTCCATCTTTTCTTTGGCCTTGTTCCCCCCTTTCCGCCCCTGCTTTTGCTCAAAGGGGAGAGAGAGAAGCTACAAGATTTAAAACGAGCAGATTAGCCGGAGCTCCTGGTGGCGTGGTCTTGGGAGGAAGCTAAGGCCAGGGTGTATCTTGCTGGCTGGGGTTTCCCTTCCCAGCTAGTCAGCTAGAGGGATGGGTTTTAAATAGCTGTTTGTGTCCCTCTGTCAGGGAATTGTTTGGTGTCGGGCAGAGGTAGATGGCCTGCTCAGCGGCCTTCACTGCCCCTGAATGGAGCCACACATGAGCTGGTTTCACCGGCCTCTGAGCCCGCTTTGTGCCGGTGGGGCCGGGCCTGGCTGCGCAGCTAGAGGAGGCCGCCAGCCGCCCGGGAGTGAATGGCAGCATCAACGGCTCATTTAAATAATGGTAGTACAGGGAATAGCTTTTAAATGCTTATCGTAAAACATATGATTAACGTCTGCGGACTGTTTACTTTTCCTCTGCGAACATTCTTTCAAGTGTGCGAATGGCTTGGTGTAGGGTCCAAGCCCAGCTAATCTGTTTGGTTTTTGTAATAGAGAGAAAGCCACGTCTGCATGAAAACGTCACCCAGGGAGACTTAATTTACAGATTAAAAGCTTCCTGAATGAATTTTAAAAAAAATAAAAGAAATAGTTTTCACCCACGAACATTCCCTTCAGGGCCGTGTGAGTTCTGTGGTGTTGTTCCTGGGCTCCGCCCTTCAGCGGCGAGATCAGCTCCTCGGGGTCAGAGTCTCTCCCAGTGGCTTGCTTCCTAGGAATTGATGGCAGGATGCTCTCCCGTGGAATCCAGAAGCGCTCCCATGGCTTGCACCCGCAGGGGTCAGCCCGGGCAGGCCTCAGCCCCTGTGACTCAGCAGCACCCAGCCAGCAGGCGGGCCTAACTCACACCTGTGCCTGTCCTTTAGCCTAGGATCTGTCTCTACACTGAGTGTACCAGGCCTCCCTGTCCATCTCTACACTGAGTGTACCAGGCCTCCCTGTCCGCCTCTACACTGAGTGTACCAGGCCTCCCTGTCCATCTCTACACTGAGTGTACCAGGTCTCCCATGGCTCCCTGCCCATCTCTACACTGAGTGTACCAGGTCTCCCTGTCCATCTCTACACTGAGTGTACCAGGCCTCCCTGTCCATCTCTACACTGAGTGTACCAGGTCTCCCACGGCTCCCTGTCCATCTCTACACTGAGTGTGCCAGGCCTCCCTGTCCATCTCTACACTGAGTGTGCCAGGCCTCCCTGTCCATCTCTACACTGAGTGTGCCAGGCCTCCCTGTCCATCTCTACACTGAGTGTGCCAGGCCTCCCTGTCCATCTCTACACTGAGTGTGCCAGGCCTCCCTGTCCATCTCTACACTGAGTGTGCCAGGCCTCCCTGTCCATCTCTACACTGAGTGTGCCAGGCCTCCCTGTCCATCTCTACACTGAGTGTGCCAGGCCTCCCTGTCCATCTCTACACTGAGTGTGCCAGGCCTCCCTGTCCATCTCTACACTGAGTGTGCCAGGCCTCCCTGTCCATCTCTACACTGAGTGTGCCAGGCCTCCCTGTCCATCTCTACACTGAGTGTGCCAGGCCTCCCTGTCCATCTCTACACTGAGTGTGCCAGGCCTCCCTGTCCATCTCTACACTGAGTGTGCCAGGCCTCCCTGTCCATCTCTACACTGAGTGTGCCAGGCCTCCCTGCCCATCTCTACACTGAGTGTGCCAGGCTCCCTGCCCATCTCTACACTGAGTGTGCCAGGCTCCCTGCCTGTCTCTAGCACTGAGTGCACCAGGTCTCCTTGTCTGTTCAGTTTAGGATTTCCCTTGGCTAAGATGCCAGGGCAGTTGGTGAGTTCCCCCTATAGCTCATCTTCTAGGCTGCGGTGGGGACATTCTAGAGGAATTAACTTTTTTGAAAGAAGTCAAAAGCCATAACTCACAAAGTATAGTAGAAACTAGAATCATGCAGGTAAGTCTTTCAAATTCAAGGGAGTGAAGGGACAAGTCATGAGGGCAAAAGGAATTAATATTACCTAGTTGATCACTCACTATGGGCCACTGCCTTTCAGATTTAAAAAAAAAATTTAAATCACACCAGTCAGATGAGATAGAAATCCTGAAGATGGTATTTCTGAGTCTGTCTGCATTAACCTACTGCCGTGGTCCGCAAACTGCGGCTCGCGAGCCACACGCGGCTCTTTGGCCCCTTGAGTGTGGCTCTTCCTAAGCCTTAGGAGTACCCTAATTAAGTTAATAACAATGTACCTACCTATATAGTTTAAGTTTAAAAAATTTGGCTCTCAAAAGAAATTTCAGTCATTGTACTGTTGATATTTGGCTCTGTTGACTAATGAGTTTGCCGACCACTGACCTAGTGTATCGAGCAACTTTTCAAACTGGGGGTAGAGGGATAATAAGAGGAAACTTACCAACAGCTCCTATGCTTATAATCAGAAAAAGAATCTCGTGCTAGGATTACAGAAGAGGTACCTCTCTTTGCCCTTTTCCTATTCCCATCTCTAGATTGTTTCTCTTTCCTTCTCTCCCTCCTTTGTACCTAAAATGCTGCTTCTTTTCCCAGGAATCCCACGGCCTCCGCACCCTCCAGATATATCTCCGTATTATCCACTATCTCCCGGCACCGTAGGACAAATCCCCCATCCGCTAGGATGGTTAGTACCACAGTAAGGAGTTCCATTTTTTAATTTACTTTTTGTTTCTTGCATGGGCATGCTTCTTATTTCTTCTATGCATGAATGTGTGTGTTTTAGAGGACAGGTTGGTGAGGAGGGCCAGTGGGGGGCGTGGGGAAGATGCTTGCTGAGATGCGCTGTGGGGGCAAAGGCAGGTCAATAGCCATTCAGTAGGTTGTGTAGGAAAAGGGGTTTTGATACTTAGCATTCTGAGCCCATGGTCCCAAAGGCTCTGGGTTCGTCTCTGTGACCAAAGGTGCCCTTCAGGTACTTAGGGAAACGTAGAAGGCTCTGAGGGCTTCTACCCAATGAAGTTGATCACAGCTCTTCTGCTGGTGGCAGTCCAGATGGGAGCCTTGTCATCGGATTGAGGCAGCAGCGGAGGGGCAACAGGCAGAACCCAGTTTTGGAATCCAGCGGTGGGAATCGGGGTGGGGCTATGCTCTCCCCCAACGAGCTCCATCCCGCCATGACTCTCAAAGTTGACACCAATAGCGGAAAGTTTTATCTCTTGAGAAGCTCCATGCTATTTAGCCAGCATCTCTCTGAGATCATACATGTTAAATGCTGATTATAAGGGGTGGGGGCGGGGCAGCTCCTGTCTCTCAGCCTGTGGGGCCTGCCCCATGTCAGCCCCAGCTCCCGCAGTGCCCAGGTCATCAAACTGCCATTGACAGTTTATCTTCCTATCACCCCATTTTGCTTTCACAGTACCACCCATCAGCCTTCCTCGGACAGCTTTAAAAAGTGGGTTCTAAAATCCCAGAGTAGAAAGGCCTGGGGTGCATAAGCCTACTGTGTGTGCAAGCATGTAACTCGTGTTTTGTGATTGCATGGTTCTGTGGATATTTCTCTGCATGCTTATGCGATGTGCCTGTGATCTCTACCGTTTAAAAAACACAGGGCAATTTATTGCATCTTAGCAAGAATAAATCGTGATGAAACGCTCAAGGTTGGGTCTTGGGAACATGGCCTTTCATAACCTTAAAGAAGATAGGATTTTGGAGTGGTTTCCCACTTCCCACCCCCATTTTACCCTTATTCCTCAAGTTGAACAGATTCTACAGTTTTTTTTTAAAAAAAAAAGCTTGTACTATGTAGTAGCTTCACTGAGGACCAACCCTGAGCATGATTTCTGTTTATTGTTTTCTCCTTACTTTTGTTTGGGAAGGTAGACATGGACCACAAACGTGAGCTCCTACCCCATTTCTTCTTCAGTAGATTGTGGGCCATTCCTCCAATAGTTCTCAGTCATGCCTGGCCCCATTCAGCTGATGGGAAGATATTTGAAGGTTAGGATAAAAAGGAATAGCCAACTCAGACAATCCTCTGTCAGAAAAAGTTGTGTGTCTTTCATGAGGATGCTATTTTGCATGTTGCTGTATTTTTTAATTATTGTAATGAGGTGTGATTGTCTATTGGTTACCCACAATTCTTCTTGGGGACTCTCCCCCCCGGTAACTCTTGTCAACACTTGTTAATTTGACAAAAGGCTACAAATTAAGCTCTGTTAATTTAATGTTTTCTCACCGAGATCTAAATACCGAAAGAGGCCCAAAGCGCAACTGAAGTCCTTTGATTCACTGTACTTTATTTTGGTATAAATTTACATTCATTATTGTTTTCCTTTGGATGTGTAGCCCTCAATTAGTGTGATGGCTCCATTAAAGCAAGCGAGACTTCGCCTTTAATTATTACAACAAAACACCTAGTTTCAGCTTGGGGAGAGGGTCTCTATTGACATAAGCAGAGGTTATAAAATTTAATTAGCCATTCCTATCAGATTTATGGCATTCAAATTGTTCTGTGTTTCTTCCCTTTGATCCTTCCTGTACAATCCCCAAGATTTTTGTTCTGATCAAATGAGAATAAAGCTTACTGTGCAGAGAGAACTTCTCCTTTTTCTTCTCTTCCTTTCCCCTACCCCCATCCTTGGTGGCACTCTCTCACTCTGTACCCCCCTCTTTGTAGGCAAGGCCAGCCAGTGTACCCAATCACGACAGGAGGATTCCGCCACCCCTACCCCACAGCTCTGACTGTCAACGCTTCCATGTCCAGGTGAGTTCCCAGAGCGGCGGCCTTCAACCAAGGCCAGGGGTGACTTCTCAGAGAGTTCTCTAGGCTGCTCCCAGGCCACCCAGGGCCTGCTGCAGCTGGAGGCTCTGATGGCAGAAGACCCATCTAGCATTTGGATTTCTTCCTAGAAAAGACTGAAACATTATCCTGAACTTCCTAAGTGGGTGATGGTGAAATCTTGAGGTGAAATTTTTGAGTCCGTCAATTGAACACTATTTTTAAAAAATATATTTGTATTGATTTCAGAGAGGAAGGGAGAGAGAGAGAGAAACATCAGTGAGGAGAGAGAATCATTGATTGGCTGCCTCCTGCATGTCCCCTACAGGGGATTGAGCCCACAACCCCAGCATGTGCCCTGACCGGGAATCCAACTCTGACCTCCTGGTTCACAGGTCGAAGCTCAACCACTGAGCTGCGCTGGCCGGGTTGAACACTATTTTTTATAAGAGTTTAAGAAGGCAGGAGGAGGTAGTTGGAATGTGCAGAGCTTTTATGAAGTGCTGTTTCTCGGGTGCCCAGTACTAGGTAAGGAAGAAAAGGGTGAAGATAATTTTACTATTAAGGTGAGTCACACGTGGAATTTTAAGTTTTCTAGTAGCCAAATTTAATAAACACTTATAAAAAAACAGGTGAAGTTATTTTTAATGGTATCTTTTCTTCAACCCAGTATAGTCAAATACTATCATTTGAACATGTTATCCCTGTAAAGCAAGCGTGAGTGAGACTTTACATTCTTTTTTGAACTTAGTTGTTGAAATCTGATGTGTATTTTCTACTCACAGCACACCTCAGTTTGAACTGGCCATATTTCAAGTCCTTCGTAGCCACATGTGGCTGGTGGCTGCCACATTGGCCTGTGCAGCTTTAGGTCTTTGAAACTGAAACACCATGTGTATGTACACATTCATGTACCTGTAAGCCTATAAGTACATATGCAGCGTGCGTACACGTACCCACATGTGTGTACCTAGATCTTCCTAGTCCGTCCTCCTCTCCCTTCCCTCTGATTAATTCTGGCTAATTTCTGTGACTGGGAGTTTATTTACAAACTGGTTGGCAGCAGTCTGTTTAAGCAGTCACTAATTGCTCCTAATGATAGTTTTATTTTCTGTTCATCTGATTTTCAGTCAAGTTAATTAAATCGGTGGAGGTTTAGACTTTCCTGATGGGCTGCAACAACTAATCCATTTTGATGATGGCGCATAATTCAATTAGCATACATTACACGGCCAAGATGCCGACCCCAGCCTCTTCCCCCAGTCTCTGTAGCCAACACGGGAACCCACGGGCAGACGGAGGACTGGACAGACAGACCAAGATGCTGCTTCTCCGACGTACAAGAACAGTGATTTGGGGGTGGGGGGAGGAAGGGGAGTAGGAATCCCATGCATGGAGAAAAACCAACTGTAGCAGATCCTACATCTATAACGATGCCATAGAGTCAGGCCGTCCTCAAGACCTGTCTCCCACGTGCTATAGATAAGTCTCATCGGTGTCCAGAGCCATGCCAGCATGGGCGAGGCAGGAGAATCCTTGTGCGTTCTCTTCTCCAGCGAGAGGAGGAAGAGTATTCATTCAATAATGTCATCACAGCCTCGCATTGCCTGGGAACGAAGGGGGAGTCTCCCAGGGGACTTAGGATCCGCAGCTCAACCTCTCTCCGTCCAGCAGTTACACGACGCACCTGGTTGCCTCTCATGTTTGTGTACTCGGTGCATTCCAGGGGTTAAAAGCGGGGAAGTAACCGTAGGATGGGGATCAGGGTTAAGCTTATTGATTGAATTATCATTAGGAGGTTAGTGGATGATTTATTGGTGGGCAGAGGGGGGTGGAGGGAAGGAAGGGAAGGGTGGGAGGAAAGGTTAGGGGCTCCGGGTGCAGGGGGGCCTCGGCGATTCCCCAGGTAGGCCTTATGAAAGGTAGCTAGTTAAAAAGCGTATACAGCAAATTAAATACATTATTGTGGTAATGGGGCGACAGAAGTATAGGTCCATTATCCTTATGGCAGTTATAGGAAATGTAGGCAGCTTGCCCTGCTCCAGAACACCCTTTGATATTCATTCTATTCAGCAGCGGGGCCAGGACTCCTCAGAATTAAGTGATGGGTCATTATACTTTAAACACCATGGAGAAGCCTAGATTGGCAATTAAACAGCTCTTGCTGACACTCACTTGTGCCACCCTGTGACCCCCTTTAGATTGAGATGTTGGAGCTCCGGGCCCTCAGCCTGCTAAATTGGCGCAAGGCTCTTCTCCTGACGAGCGCGGGCTCTGCAATCCGCCGACTTCAAAGGGAGCGAGATCATGTATAAACCATAATGTGGGTGCACCGTGGCTCACAAAAAATAAGGCAGGAAGAGATGAAATGTTACAAGTGCAAGGGGGAAAATGAGAGAATAATGACAAACCTAATGCAACTCAAAGCCGGATTGTTGCACAGGAAAATGCATCCCACTGCTTGTGCATAAAATCAAGGCCGGCAGATGACACCCAGTTAACAGAAACGTGTCAACAGTGAAGTAAAGTGAGAGTGAGTACGAGAGAGGCCCCTGAGACAGCCAGAAACAAAAATTAGTTGTCCTTAACAAGTTAAGATTCTGGCTTGGAGCCACAAAAGCAGACGGGGGCATATAATGAGCTGCTTAGAATTTTTAGGGTGTTTATTGCATTTCATGAAACAGTTGTCTGTAGAAAGGAATTTCTTACGGAAGGTATGCATGTAGCGCCCCACTCCACACACAGACACACACACACACTCACTCTGTCTTGTCTCTGCTATACATTTCTCAGGTGTATGAGCGTGTGTATAGCTATGTGAATTTGGCAGTATTTGTTTCTCATGGCTGCCCTGGAAATTTTTCTCCTCCTGTGGTACTCAAACTGTGGTGTCTCCCTATGGTATTTGGTGCACACACACGTGTTTTTATCTTGCTCCCTTCTCTCTCTCTCTCTCTCCCTCTCATCTGTACATATATTCTCATTCAGCAGGAAGGGAACCTATGTATTTGAGGAACGTCAAGCCTTTAACATTCACGGTGAAAGCTGCCACTCCCCACCCCTTCACCCAAGGCTTCCAGGAACACATATTCTTCACTTAGGTTTGCTCAGAGGTCTTCAGGCCTTGGGAAGGCATGCGTGCTGGTGGGGAGCCCAAGTGCCTCCTAGGGGTTCGCTTCCCATTTTTTTCCAGGGGAAGGAAATGAGGTTGGTTTTTCCCTTTTTCTCATGGTCAGTGGTATTCATTCTCTCTCATAGGGCGTTTCTTTCCTTTTCTTTCTTATTCTGTTTCTTAAATCATGGCGTTCACACCAAACTTTGACCCATTAATAAAGGCAGCGGGAGAGGGCCATGGCGGGTTGGAATTTCTGAGTCGAGTGTCCACTGTGGCTCTGGGCCCCTGTATTTTCTCTGTTGATCTGTGCAGATTGTTAGTACTTGAATTTTTCATCATTTTTCAACTTACCATGTGTTACATTATTTTGTTTAAGTGAAAACTATTTTCCCCAATCTACCTGTGGAAAGAACCTTGTGAATAAACATAGGGTCCTTTTGAAAAGCTGTCACGGGAAACCCTCATTAGCACCTCCCACCAGAATTGGCTTCCTAAGGAGTTGGCTGTCATCCACTGCATGGCGCGTGGGACTGCTATGCTTGGGATTTATTAAGAAAGCCACAGGGGCTTGATCCGGGTTCCTCTTCGCCTGAACAGCGCCCCCCTCTGCTCACTGCATAACCATGGCAACTGGGAGCCCAAACCTGCCATTTTGTTTTCTTGGGGGGTTCCTACCCCCTTTGCCCCTTGCCCTACTTCCCTCTGCAGTAGGACGCAGCAGGTCCTCAAAGGACATCTTTTCCTTAAGTGCCATTGTGCTGTCACGTTGATGAGATGCCATGGTAACCTCACCCTTGTTGATATCACTTAGCCTGTGCTAAAACCGGTTTGGTTATATGTTGTTTTGCTTAAAGTCTCAGAAACTATGGGTGACTTTGAGGACTGACCATATGTTCCTTTAGGAGGGGTGGTTCTTGTGACCTAATAGAAATCATGGCGACTCCAGCATGCCAGGACATGTGACAGCTATTTGTCCGATCCGCGTGTCAGCTTGCAGATGGGCCAAGAGTATTTTGAAATCAGCTCTTGGTCTGGCGGGTCTGCATGGTTGGGGAATGCCATTTTGGGGCGTAAACAGTGTTTCAAAGGACTTTCCTAGAAATAAGCTGCATCAGAGGAGACGACACACACTTTATTGTCTTTATTTCCGCTTTTGGTAACCATTTAGAAGGTTAATGCATAGGTGTGTATAGCATAGGTGATATATTAAGTCAAAGTAATTTAGGAATCCCAGAATTTTAGAGCAGGAAAGGGTATAAAGATCAGAACTCAAAGCTCTGTGTGTGCGTGTTACAGAGTGCTTTTTTTTTTTTTTTTGCATCTTTCCATAAGCCGATACAAACTTATTTAAAATGTCTGTAACTTCTGATGAGAACCAAATGGGAAATATTTGGATTTTCTCCATCTTTCTGCCTCACTGTCTCCCATTCCTGTCAAAACGATGGGGCACAGCAGCAAAAGCAAAACAAAAATTGTATTACACTCCCATCAACAGAATGAGGCCTAATGAGGCCCACGCAGCCCTGTCAGAAATGTGTGTACACGTCAGCCGCATTAATATTTTATTCGGCTGTCAATATACAACAAAAGCCTTCCCCTCTCATCTGGCGCCGATTAGGGCTTAGGAAATTGTCTTCCTAGATAGATGCCACTGGTAACACCTCAAAACACACGTGGGCGTGTGATCTCCAACAGGTCGCCCGGGCCTCCTCTGCCACCCAAGTACATCAGTTAAATTTGTCTTTTGCTAAAGATGTTGGAAATCATAACGTCTTGTGTCAGTAAGCGTAATGAAGGGGAAGATTGGCTTTAATGACATTATGAGAGTCATTATGTTTAATTTATCGCTAATTAATGCTGACAGGTTTCATATGCCGTGGGTTGCTTTCATGTGAGTGTTACGTGCTTTTTTGTTTTAGTGTATTGTGTGTGCACATCCCTCCTCATTCATTCATTTTGATTCTGACGATTTACACAGCTTTCTGTCTTCTAGGTTCCCTCCCCACATGGTCCCACCACATCACACTCTCCACACGACCGGCATCCCCCACCCAGCCATCGTCACGCCAACAGTCAAGCAGGAATCCTCCCAGAGTGACGTCGGCTCGCTCCACAGCTCGTAAGTGTCGTTCTTTTTTCTTTTTAATATATTTTTATTGATTTCAGAGAGGAAGGGAGAGGGAGAGAAAGAGAGAAACAGCAATGATGAGAGAGAATCACTGATTGGCTGCCTCCTGCACGCCCCACACTGGGGATCAAGCCCACAACCCTGGAATGCGCCCTTGACCAGAATTAAACCCGGGACCCTTCGGTCTGCAGGTCAACGCTCTACCCATTGAGCCAAACCTGCTAGGACAGTGTCGCTCTTCATTGCGTTTAGCCTATGGTTGCTGGCATGGTGGCTCCTGGCTGGTGGCCCTGGCCAAGGCTGTCATGCTGCGTGTGATCCTGGCAGACACCCAGCTGCTGTGGGCTCCGGACCCTCGCAGGAGGACGGGGTCAAGAGAACTACTTTTATGTTCTTGGCTGGACTGGGATTTGCAACTACGTCCCTGTCCCTCCCCATATCCCTGAGCCTTCGGAGCTCTGTCCTTTGAGCAGGCGACACCGCCAAGGTGCAGGCGGCCACAGGTGCTGTGCCCTCAGCCTGGGAAAATTGTGTGCTTGTGACACTTGAGGAACTGATTGCAAAACCTCTGTGTTCCCCCAGCCCCTCCCCAGGCTGTTTCTGTTCCATTGTCCAGGGTCGGGGAGACCAAACGTGGAAGCGAGCTTTTCATTCAAAGCTGCCGGGTGTGGGCGCTGGGGAACCATGGAAATGGGCTCCGTGCCGCGGGGGGTGTTGGCCCTCGCGGTGGTTCACAGGGTTGTGTCTGTGTGTTCTCTCCGCATCCAGAAAGCATCAGGACTCCAAAAAGGAAGAGGAAAAGAAGAAGCCCCACATAAAGAAACCTCTCAACGCGTTCATGTTGTATATGAAGGAAATGAGAGCGAAGGTCGTCGCCGAGTGCACGTTGAAAGAGAGCGCGGCCATCAACCAGATCCTGGGGCGAAGGGTAGGTGGTTGCCTCACTGGGGGAAGAGGGGAGAGGGGACTAGGACGTCGCAGGTGGGGTGGCAAGGTGTCCCTGTCCCCATTTGTTTTCCTTCGGCCACACTGGCAGGCCCGTCACTCCGGACTCCGATAGCCACAGCCACGACCCTCCCCCACCCCCAGAGAGGGCAGGGGATGGAGTGACAGAGACGCCAGCCTGTGCTGTGTCTGAGCACTCCTGTTGGTGCCAGGCCCCGCCCATCTGCAGCAGGTTGTACGATTCCAGATGGACTTATCCGAAAAAGAAGCCGCCTTCCCCCCTCGCCGCAGTGTAGTTGGTGACTTCTGCATGTCTCTCTCTGTCTCTCTCCCCCCCCATGTCCCCTCCAGTGGCACGCGTTGTCGAGAGAGGAGCAAGCAAAATACTACGAGCTGGCGCGGAAGGAGCGGCAGCTCCACATGCAGCTGTACCCCGGCTGGTCCGCACGGGATAACTATGTAGGTGGATCCTTTTTCTCGGGACTGGTCTGCAGGCGGGTGCCGGATGTCCTCAGGGACAAAGGGAATGTCAGCTTGGTTCCCTCTGCCCTCTGCGGGGACCGTTAGCACCTCGTCCAAGCACCAGGCTTGGAGGGTCTGGTCTGGGCCTCCGGTTTGGCCCCGGCAGCATTCAGGGAGGAGGGACGGGGCTTCTCAGCACTGGTCCCTGGGCGGCCTTCCAGGGAAGAGGGTGGGGTGGAGGGAAAGAGTAGTTCCTCACAGATCTTCCAGCAGCAGGCCCTTCCGTAAGAGGGAAAATTGAAACAACTGTCTTATTCTGTGGTGCAGTAGAAGCTGGGAGCCTCGTTCATCCTGAGGGGCATGATGGGAATATCCCTGAAAGAGCCAATAGAAGTCATCCTTTGGCAGGGACCCAGCAAGGGCGGGCAAAGGGGTGTGTCTTGTGAGTTCTGTGTTCCTGGACTCTATGTCAGCTGCAAGGTTTGCCTAATTTCCTCTCCTGGATTTGAGAAAACACTGTCGGGTGGTTTATTTTACTAATTGCAGTGGTAATGACACTCATGACTCTTCTTCCCTAAACGCTGTCCTCTGGGACCCTTGTCACCTCTCGCCATTCTTTTTTATTCTCCATGTTGCCCATTAGCTCAAGTTCTGCGCTATCTCTCCCCTGGATGGATGAAATGACTCTTATTTTGCCTGGTGCCTTAGTACAGAGCAGTGGGTTACATGAAGTGATTTTGTCATCCACTGTTGGGGGCAGTGGGACAGAATTGTCCTAATGCAGCCACAGGCTCCTCGTCCTGTTCCTTGTTGGAATCTCAGAGCCATGGGCGACTTTCTGCCAGTCGGTGCTCCTGCCCTCACTCTCCATGGGCATCGTCCGTGGTGAAGGGCTCTCTCCGGATGCGGGTTGAGATCCGCTCCCTCATTGCTGATCGAAGACTTACTGTGCACGTGGTGTGGTGGGGATTCTGAGCTAAATCAGACCTATTTACTGGCTCAGAACTTGGCCGCCTCAGCAAGTCATACGGTCCACGGGAACGTGAGTCCTGAGGGAAGCATTTTCAGGCTTCCTCCCCCTTTATTCTGATCCCTTCACACACGTGCTTGCCCGTCTGCTCTTGGCGGTGTGGATGAGGGGGAATGGAGAACCGAGACCCTTGGGCTGGTCTCCCAAGTGGTCAGCACCCCCGCACCCATCTTCCTCCAGGCCCCGCCCCCTGAGCTGGCAGCATTAGGCTGTATTCCTCCTGGGAGGTGGAACTGGAACTAGTCCGAGCACCTCTCCATGGCTCAGTGTCTCTGCTCAGAGCCCTTGTCACTCACAGAGGGTCACGCCCAGGACCTGAACTGCTTGGGGGCTTTGCACGTGTCCTCAGCACGTGTGTGGTGGAGAGGCCGTTCTTCTGGGGCTGGGAGGAAGAGCATGAGAACATTCCTGCTCCCACAGGCTCGCTGCCCTCCACCCCCACCCCACCCCCTGACCTCGAGGTGGAGCTCTCCAGCACTAGGCAGGCCCTGCAGCCTCCACTGGTGCCCACACAGCTGTCCATGTCAGGACAGCTGCTTCCCTGGTTTCGGGTCAGAAGTCCTTAGAGGTGAGTTCCAGCTTCTCCCTGCTCCAGACCCAGTCCTCGGGGTAACCTAGAACGGTGCCCCAAGAGGAATCCCTATCCCAGCAGGCATGTGGTGGTAGGAGGGCCTTCCTGTGTAGCTGTGCACCGCACACCCGAGTGTGTTGTTTACTCTGGGGGCTAGTGCACGGCGCCGGGGAAACCTCCCCACGGGGACAAGCCTGACTGAAAGCCTCCAAACACCGCTGCCTTTGCTGACTGGGCAGAGTAGGTGTCGCCCGAGGCTTTTTCAAACGTGCTTTCTAGGTTTCAGCAGAGGCGCTTGAAATGACTTCAGCTCCGTGTTACTTTTGGAAGGGGTTGAAGGGGTCTGGTGTAGGAGGGGAACCCCTGGTAAGACTTGAAAGTGAGAGGAAGATCTGGATCTGGAGCGGTAGGAGTTTCCTCTCTTGTCAGCGGTGCTGTCAGATGCCTGTCACTATGGCACATTACTCATGGGTGTGAATGCATCCCTCCCCCTCTCCTTCCCCTTTCCTCCATCTCTCCTGCTTCCCTCCCTTTCCCCCTCCCCCCTCTCTCCCTCCCTCCGTCCTTCCCTCCCTCCCCTTTTCCTCCCTTCCCAGTGGAGAAACTATGGGGGTGAAGGGTAGATACTGGAATGTTGCCATTTAATGGCAATTAGCACCCCCTAATGCAGTGCCCACTTACCATGGTACCTGCTACACATCACATTACTGCATCATTTCACTAAGAGGCCTAAATAAAAACATGTGATATTTCACATATGGTAAAACACAAATATATCTAAACCAAGAAGTGCCTGTGTAAGCTTTTATAAAAATAGTCATAGATCACTCTGGCCCAGTGGCTCAGTTGGTTAGAGTGTCATCCCATGCACCAAAAGGTTGTAAGCTTGACTCCAGATGCAACAAATCAATGTTTTTCTCTCACATTGATGTTTCTCTCTAAATATGTCATTCCTCCCTTCCTCCTTCCCTCTCCTCCTCCCTCTCTCCCTCCCTCCCTCCCTTCTGTCCATGCCCCAGGAAACAGCCTGTGGAGCAAGAATCAAAACTTCAAGCTTTTATGAATTTGATCGTGGTGTCATGTTAGTATTTTTTTAACTGACCTGACCTAGAGCTTTATAGAATTTTTTGGTCATTATAAAGTCCAGAAGGTTCCTCAGGAAGGTTTTCTGTGCCTCTCACATTCCTACCTCTCCAGCCGAGCGGTGCCGGAGCCTTCCTGCCGCCAGCTCAGCAGAGTAGAAGTGAGGGAGTCCCATTGGGTGTGGGGTGTGGCACCGTCTGGAGCACAGAAAACAGCCCTTCCCCAGTGACGTGGACCCTGGCCGGGTAACAGCACACGATTCCCTTTCTAGCTCTTCTAGGTCAGGCAGGGAGAGAGAGCCTAGGCCAGTGGTCGGCAAACTCATTAGTCAACAGAGTCAAATATCAACAGTACAATGATTGAAATTTCTTTTGAGAGCCAAATTTTTTAAACTTAAACTATATAGGTAGGTACATTGTTATTAACTTAATTAGGGTACTCCTAAGCTGGCCTTTGCTAAAAACATCCTCAATCTGATTGAGGTA